AATTATTATCCATTCACCTAAACTCCTCTGATTTCAGTCAGTGCTGGTTTCAGTGATTACTTTCTGCTGCTACTGTACTGATGCAGCAGTCCTCTGGGGATCAAAGTTCAGCCCTTATCTTGAATGTCTAAATGTATTTCCATTTGGTGCTGTTAAAGCATTAGATGGACTTTTGAATGGAGCCATGACTACAAAGTGAACAGTTTATTAGAAGGTTTTATCGATTGTAAAAAGACCGGCTTTGGATGTCATTAATGAAGCTTTTTACATCAGATTAAAAGAAAACATGAGAAAATATATTTTGATTAAAGCTCAAAGTTCCGGTTAAAACCCTTTTAGCCTCTGGTAAACTTCCCCTTTTTTAGATTTATGATGGTCAAGGAAAATGTCATTATCATCATCATCAGTAAATGGCGTCGGATGGTTGGGAACAATAAAGTATTTTTGAATTGACTTAACTTTTCAAATTTGAATTAAAAACAAAATCTTCCCTCTCTTACCATCCAATTTATTGTGGGTCACAGCATTAATTATTTTGCACATTTATTTGTATTATAGATATGGACAGGAAGCTGTTTTCCGGATGATAAAAATCTAAATTAATTTGCCTTGTTTTAAATGTTCTAAAGAATGAAACTGTGAAATGATCTGAGTCATGCAACATTTATAAACATCCAAGCTAAACAGCAGATCACTGATTACTAATTAGAAGTTTCTATAAATGCATCACCTTTAAATAAACAGTCTAATAAAGTATTAACAGGATGTTTAAATAATACATGTATAAGATAATTATAGTCTTTATCTATTTTTTTTATAGGGATTGTTTTGAGTGCTGACAGATTTGGTGTTGGAGTCATGATGCTTCAGCCATATAAAGTCATTTTACCAAGTGATGTGATAGACTGATAATTTGTCTAAACAGTAGTATGGATAAGAACAAGCTTTTATTCTATACTAAAGAAAAACTATGTCAAGGTCTGTGTCTTTAAAAGTTTGGATAATCATGTTTTCAGATATTTTCGCATTTATATTTTTTTGTCTGAAAGCTTTGGTAGCATGCTGTTTTGTTTTAAAGGAGTTTTATAGTAAGATATATTCTAAATGTTTCTACTCCAGTTGCTCACTTACACTCTGGTTGAATATAAAGGCTTCCTTAATAAATTATGGCAGCTTTTGGCTTTTGATATACTCTCTCTGTGTATCACTGTTTAAATGTCTGCGCTCTGTATTTTTACCTTATAAATACCAGAGGTAATATTGCACATTTGTGTGAAAAGTAACCATGAAATATATTTCCTCAGCAGTGGTGTGCATATTATAGATTAAATTAAAAGTATTAAAGTATTTTAAAAAAAAGTGAAGTCCAAACTATTTAAAAAGCACAATAACTATCAGCTGTGTTGGTAATGCTAAAAATACAAAATGAACGTTTGTGTTTACTTAAGTAGAAGCTAAAGCTGCTGAAGCTGGCTAGTGGATGGATGCATGAGAAAGTACTACAATCAGATGGCAACGATGTAAAACAATGTTTAAGTGTTGAATAGTGAAAAAAAGATGTTTTTTTTAGGCTCAAAAAGGGCTGAAGAAGCTCTCAACATGAATACTTTCCGTATGTTGTTTTATTTTAACAAAAATGTATGGATTTTGTTGTGTTTATTATTTTTGTATAGGCATAGTGCATGACTGCACCTATTTAAGGCTTTCCATGTTTTGTTTTTAATATTGAGGTTAGAAGCCATGTGAAGATTTGTTTTGGTTATAATTAGAGTAGTTTAAAAAAAACTAATTGTTATTTTAAATGTAGCTTAAATTCCCCTGAGGCAGCTTAAGACCTGAGTAGATGCATCGTTAATCGCTGTAATAGACAGATGCATCGGTTGATGTTTGACCTAATTGAGGCAGGAAATGTTGTGCGTTTTTTGAAAATGGACACTCAGGAGAATGAGAATGGATGTAAGAAGGAGCCTAAAGGTACCCCACACATTCACAGAGGAGCAGCACTTATTTAGATGAAAGATGAAAAGAAACTAAATCAGGGTCGTTCCTTCTAATGCCAATACATTTGACTACATGTAGGACGGGGTAGCTGTGGTTCTCAGTTTTAGAGGTTATGATAATTTTTCAAAATATAGAAAACACCTGGCTGACCCCATTCTGCATAGCACAGTTTAAAAGGTTGGTTTTTTGTGGGTCATGCTTAGAAACGGCAGAACTGACTGCAGTCAGGTTGACATGTGTTCCAGCTTTATTCTCAAATGAAACTCGGAAAGTATCCTCCATAAATCCCTCCTCCATAAGCTGCTTGGTGATGGGTTAATGCGTTCTGTTTTCAGTCTGCGGCGCTTCAGAAGAAGCTTCACCATCTAGAGCTTCAGATGAATAAGGACAAGCAAGTCAAGGAGGAACTGGAGAACAAATGCAGGTGCAAGATCAGTCATCCATTAACCTGCTGTAATGTGAAAACTTAAAACCTGCACTCATGTTTTGTCCTCGTTTGCCTCCAGAGCTACAACTGTCCGTTTAGAAAAAATAACCAAAGAGCTTGAGGAAGAGGTAAGTTCCCTATCTGAGATCAGATGTTTTTCATTAGATCGGCTGTGATTTTGATTTACTTTTATTTTTTTCTCTGATTGACTTTAGGTGAGCAGCAGGAAGAGCCTGGAGTCGAACCTGAGGCAGCTGGAGCGAGAGAAGGCCCTGCTGCAGCACAAGAGCCTGGAGAGCCACCGGAAGGCCGAGAACGAGGCCGACAGGAAGCGCTGCCTGGAGAATGAAGGTAACAGACGCCCTCTACAAATGCAGGATCCCTCACGGGTCTTTAATTTATTTGCATGCCAATAATTACTGCTATGAGTTAATTCTACTCCATATTACGGCCAAGTGATAGTAAAGTATTATTGGCAATAGATTAAATTGAGTTAGAAGATGTGTGCAACGCTGCCACCACCTGGTCAAACTGTGAAACCTTTAGATTTTATCAGACCTTATGATGTTTCTCCTTTGTTTTGCATACATGAAGTTTTAACATAAAGGACTCTAACTTATCTGTGCTCGGCTTCTGTTCTGGTGCAGTTAACAGCCTTCGAGATCAGCTGGATGACATGAAGAAGAGAAATCAAAATTCCCACATTTCCAATGAGAAGAACATTCACCTGCAGAAACAGGTCCTTTGTATTTATCAATTTACTTTTCTTAACCTCTTTTAAACCCGGTGAATCTGGAGGAATGTTTCCTAATTGATACACACATTTAAGTCTTAAATATGAGGATCATCTCCCAACTTGTGGTCATTTTGTTCTAAAGCTCCTTTAGGTCAAGATTTACCTAAGTTCATCAACAAACATTACCAACTAGTCTATAGTAAAAAGGAATTTAGAATTGGGAACAAAGTACCATCAAATTCACAAAGCTACTGTGTTCTTCAGTGTGGTTTTTAACCTTTTTTTTTTTTTTTGCATTAGGTGTCTGCTTTATTTTGCGTGCAAATTCACATCAGAAATTTAACTACCGGTAAATGGTTTCGGATCTGAAAGCGTCTATCTGGAACAAGCAGGATTTAAAAAATACTAATATTTCAATTTAGTTTTTTTTTATATTGCACCAATTCACAATACACATCATAGATAATTTAATCAAATCATACAGATATGTTTAAAGTTTTCTATTTATTGAAACCCAGCTGCTTGCATTGACTCATTGAATCAACAACAATTTAGAACAATTTCTAAATGAACAAATGTTCTTAATTTAGAGAAAAATAGTTTTCATCCTAAGTAGATTTTTTTAAATATCTTTTTGTAGATTTATGTCACCGTTCTTTCCATTGGTGGGTTATTTTTTTCAGTAAAATCCATCTAATAGTCTATGTATCTCTACTCTAGGTAGTGATTCAATTACCAAATTAGCTGACGATTATTTCTATTTATTACTGTTAGTTAATAATTTCAAACCTAGTCAGGTTGCATTTGCGATCTTTGCAGCCACAAAGTCATCAGGTGCAGAAATAATCATAAAGAGAACTCCAAGTTTTTAGGAGATGAAGGGGCGCACAGGTTGTGTTTCTGAAAGATGAAGCAAGCCTAGTGCCTTTCATGGCTGCAGTTCTGGTTGTGTTTATATATATATATATATATATATATATATATATATATATATGTAAAGCTTAGTATTTAGATTTTTAAGAATATTACTTTATAAAATCCTTTTAACTGTTTTTGCTGAATGGTGGGTCGGGTCTGAGTTGCAATGTTTTGTAAGAACTTATATTTACGTCCTTTAGCCATAAACTCAGTAAACTTAATCATGGATCACTTTGCAGCTGGAGGAAGCCAACACGCTGCTGCGGGCCGAATCTGAAGCGGCCACGAGGCTCCGCAAAGCTCAGACAGAGAGCAGCAAGCAGCTGCAGCAGCTGGAGGCCAATGTGCGTGAGCTGCAGGATAAATGCTGCCTGCTGGAGCGCAGCAAGCTGAGTCTGGAGAAGGAGTGCATCAGCCTGCAGGCCGCTCTAGAGTCGGAGAGGAGGGAGCACAGCCAGGGCTCCGAGACCATCAGTGACCTGATGGGTGGGTGAAACACATGAACCACGAGCCAGAAGGCTGTTGGTAGAGTCCTTTGTTAGTGTGCCGTTTCCTCTGATATCATTCCTCTGTGTATATGATAAAACATCGATTGGAACATCCATTAGTAAAAGACTTTAGATACGCTTATGACTTTTCTTTCATTTACAGCCTATGTTTAAATGCAGTGCAAGGATTTTTTTTTTAGGGTGTAGCTGATTCTGACAGCTTATTTTATCCTTTTCAGGACGTATTTCTGGACTGGAGGAGGAAGCCCGCCAGCAGAGACAGACTCTGTCGAAAGCTGAAACTGAGAAGAGACAGCTCCAGGAGAAATACACAGATCTGGAGAAGGTAAACGAAACCATTGTTTAGAAAAGTAAAATTACAAATGTATTTCCTTAAGCCTTTCTGTGTTCCCCTGCTTCAGATCTATCAGTCAAATTGAATCATTTTCCGGTTACTTTTCTGCTTGGTGTCACCTTACAAATGAGAACAACTTCTGCCTTTTATTCTTTGTGCAGGAGATGAGCAACAAAGAGATAGAACTGACCTACAAGCTGAAGGTTCTGCAGCAGGAGTTGGAGCAGGAGGGGGCCTCACATAAAGCCACCAGAGCACTGCTGGCGGACAAGAGCAAGATTAAAGTGACCATCGAGGGGGCCAAGTCTGAGACCATGAAGGGTAAGGGTGGCCTCACGCAGTCAGACAGATCTGAAAGCACTAATTAAGTTTGTTCCTGGAAACCCAAAGGCAGATTTAATAATCGGGTAGATGTAATAAAAAAATGCATTAGAGGAGCAACAGATTCATGGGACCCGACAGTTTTTGGCTCTCCAAGAAAGATGGACTTAGACTCAACTTTATTTGAGTCCAAGTTTATCTTGTTCAATGCTGAATATGCAAAGCAATAAAAGACCTGATTGTGTAAAATGTTTTGCAGAAGAATTACTCACAGTATTGCTAAAAATCTCTGATATACTTTATTTTTCCCACCTATGTTGTTTTAACCTTCCTTAATTAGATATCTAGTTAAATGGATTACTTTTTTCAGTCATTAATAATTCCTTGTAAACTCTTCCTGGATCCTTCCTGCAGAACTGGAGCGTAAGCTGTCAGAGGAACGAGCGGCCAAGCTGCGGTTAGAGAACAGAATCCTGGAGCTGGAGAAACACAGTAGTATGATGGACTGTGACTACAAACAGGCTTTGCAGAAGCTGGATGAGCTACGCAGACACAAGGACCGACTCACGGAGGAGGTCAGAGCGTTACCAGTTAGAACCTGCATGTGGGGATATACCATCATTTAGGGTTGTCAAAAGTATCGATACTGAAACGTTGTAACCGGATACAATACTCGTTTTTAAAAGTATGACTGCTTAGGTGCCACCACCAGTGGCACCTAAGCAGTCATTCATCTAAAGTGCAGAATAGTGGACAATGCACTTTCAGAACACTGTGTGATTGAATAATTCTGTGCACTTTTCAGTTTCAGACTTTTTTTTTGTAAGAGGTGCAGCTGCTGAGAATTATTTTTGTTTCTTAACCGGTTTGGCTAGTGTCATTGTTATGTGTGCAAAGCATAGCCAAGGAAGGAACACTTAATTTTAATTTTATACGTTTCTTATCAAGCTTGCTTAATATTGTGCACAGCATACAACCTTTATTGTATTTATTTATTGTATTTTATTTATAAATGAAAATATTTCTGTAGAATTTTGGAGTCTTTTTATCCTTGTGGTATCGAAAATGGTATCGAGTATCGAATATTTTCCTTAGTATTGGTATTGAGTTGAAAAGTTTAGTATCTTGACAACCCTACCATCATTTAAAGTGGTTCCTCCTTTTTTTTTCCCAGGTGAAGAACTTGACACTGAAGATTGAGCAGGAAACCCAGAAGCGTAACCTGACTGTAAATGACCTGAAGGCCCAGAACCAGCAGCTGAACATCCTGAAAACCTCTGAGAAGCAACTTAAGCAGGAAACCAACCATCTGCTAGACATCAAGCGCAGCCTGGAGAAGCAGAACCAGGAGCTACGCAAGTCCGTTCAGCTTTTTTCTGCTCTTTGCTTTGTCGTCACTATCTTTATGTGTTAGTCGCTTAATTTGCCTTTTTAACCTGCAGAGAAAGACAGGACACAGATGGACAAATGAAGGAATTACAGGACCAGCTGGAGGCTGAGCAGTATTTTTCTGTAAGTATGCAGGGAAATGATGCACTAAATAATGCAGGCTGATTTCATAAGTTCCTCTGTTGTTTGTAAAACATTAAATAAAAGATGATAAATAAGGGGAGGGTCCCCCACTCAATGAACAGACTCGTGCAGTTCAGGATGCCTGTGCAGTCTGGAATTTGATTTATGTATTATCCAGGTCTGGAAAAACTGAAAATATTTTCTTCCCTGACTTTATTCCCCTTTAAAGGCTGCATGTGTAAAGCCTAAAAACTGTGGAAAAGTTTTCCATAAATCCTCAGTGAACTTCTGCTTTAAAACGTGGCTGTAGGAGGATATAAAAAAATTGGGTCTCAAAGAGGAAGATTCACCTGTTCTTTATTTACCCACAAGGGGGAGATCCAGAGCTTTGAAGTTTGGAGAAAAAAGGCTTCTGTAGAATAAGATTAGATATGAATTTATCCAATGCACTAAAATAATAGCAAGGCATTAGAGTGGAACTCAATAAGCCAAATTAAGAGGAAGAGGGGAAAGGTTGGTATAAAACTGTGGGGAGATCATTTGTGACATCGATACAAGCAGGAAATCAGGACTCTGGAAATGTGAAACCACAGAAACCTGCGGCATTCTAGAGCTAGATCCAGTTTCTTAAACACATAAACAGCATTTTTGGTTAAACCATTGCCTTTATGTGGGAAGCCACATATTTAGCAGATTTGACTCTGAAAACATTCAAAAGTTTAGTTTTTATTTAAAAGCATGCAAAGTCAACTTTTTTTTAGTATTTGATAATGATATATTTCTCTCTGCTTTTAAAATGGTATTTTACTCGATTCCTACATGCCTGAAGATTCAGTCTGTCCAGTAGCCACTTCCTGTCCTGTGAAAAGGAGCAGCCATCACTTTCCTGCTTAGGAAAGTGATAACCTGCTCCCTCCAGGAAGCAGCTACCTCACTGTGCTGCACCTGAACATTCAAACATATGAGCCAGTTTTTTCGACCAGGAAGGGCTGATGTTAGACAGAGCGTGATGTTTCTGGCTAACTGTTGAGACGAAGTGACTCTTGTAGCTGATAATCTGCAGAGGGCAGCATCTGTTCCTTTATAAGCAAATGTTGAACAGCCCCCACATAGTTGAATGGAGGATGTACATACTTTGAGCCACTCCCATTTACATGTAAGCCTTCACAGTAGCTTTTCTTACATTTCTAATGCCTTCATTTCCCACAACGTCATGGCATCATCACTTTTTTCTCTAGCTATACAAAAAATAACAGAAACAAAGACTAGATGATACTTGCATCGTTTCTGTCTGCGTGAGGTGGGAGAAGAAAGGGACGGAGAGTGAGTCGCTGCCAGCGATCACCTGGGGAGCAGCTTGGTGTTTCATTCAAATCATTTCTCTATGAATGCTCATTCCTGGTGAAAAAAAGATTCCCTGCCCAGCAAAGTAGTTAAACAGCCCATACGCAGTAGTAGTAAATGTGCCTAGTTCGCGTCTGTCCACGGAAAGTCGGCCTTGAGTTTGCAGGCTTAGTGCAGATGTTTGCAGACACTTGTTAATGTGAGTATTTGGGGCAGAAAAGATAAGGAAATCTGTTTTTGTGGTGGGCTGCCATTTGCGGCGCCCTGGGAGCAGTGTGGGGTTAAGGGTCTGTGGGAGTTGGTTTCAAACTCAAAACCTCAGGATTCAAAGCTCTATTCTCTAACCACTATGCCATCGCTCCCTATTATTGGCCTTGAGAGGTCTTAGACTTTGCCTAGCCTTTTGTAAGTAGCATGATACAAGGTCATGAAATGGGTGGTGGGGAGAAGCTTTGAAGGAGAGTTTTCTTCTTGGTTGTAAAAAAAAAAAAACACACTATTCAATAAAGATTAATACTGCATAATGCTAAAGAGATTATTGTATCATACAGTATATATATATATATGCCTATAGTTTACTTAAAAAGGCTTTAAAAGCAGGATATACTGTAGATCCTTTAAGGTTTTTTGTTTTTTAGATAAGTTTGAAAATATTCATCTGGAAAAATGACTTTGCTATCATTCAGCTTCTGAGATCATCTGAAGCGTGAATGAAGGATTGTTTTTATTTGATGATTAACTTGTTGGTTTGTTTTGTCACATTTGAACTTAGACGTTGTAGCAGCAGAGATTTCTAAAGATGACAGAGATCCTTCTAAAAGGCCCAAAGTTTTAGGTGATGTCTGACTTCTGCCTGTTTGTTTTGGTTGTTTTCCTAAAGCCTTACATTCCTGCACAAAACAAACAGGCAAGCCAGTGTGTGAAGGGAAGCCCCCTGCTGAGGTCTGGTTCAGATGAAGGCCGTCTTTATGCTTCACTCTGTATGGATGCAAGTTTTTCTTTTGTTCACTGTGTTTGTATAATGATGACCCAGTCAGTGGCTTTGAATGGAAGCATTTAACCCTGTAGTTTTACCAGAATATATGTATATAGGCAGTGTTTGTTTGCTTTGCAAAGCATGAAAACTTCACCCAAGCATAGTCTTTCAGATGACCAGTCGGGCAATTCATCCAGCCTAGGTTTTGTCTGCTGAGGAATAATGTGATTTAATAAGAGAGGAGGTAGAAATGTATCTGCACTGTAAAGGTTAGTGAGCTCTGCTCTAACAAATGTAAATCCTTACCTAAATCTGAGAATCCCAGAAGACCGGCGACATTTTCTATTCATGTCAGATGATTTGTAGGATTAAAGTGAAATGACTAATTAATTTCACCTTGTTCAGCCCAGCTGTTATCTTGTCAAGTTTGCTCTCTCACTTTGTTGCTGACTAAATGAATTAGTCTGGATATGTTAGAGAGAAAAACATTCTCTTAATAAGTTTAATCTCTTTGCTTTCTTTGTCTTCTTTAAACCACCTTAGTAGAGGTCTTTCTTACCACTGTTGTTTGGTTTGGTGTACTTTGAGGCTTTTACCGCCACCAGACTATTTCTTGATCCATCTCTGATATTTTATTTTTAAAACCGTGGATAACCTGTAGCCATATTATAGTTATATCACAGACAGATTGTTTGTCTACATCTAGCAGAATAGGCTGGTGATAGAAGGTGTTTTGTGAAACGTCACGTGTACATTATCTGGCGTTTTTTCCAGACACTTTACAAGACTCAGGTTCGGGAGCTGAAGGAGGAGTGTGAGGAAAAGAATAAACTCTACAAGGACGTACAGCAGTCTTTGCAGGAACTGCAGGAGGAGAGGTGAGCACGCTGCTTGAAGGTCTAAAATAAATTAGTTTTGGGGGTATTTAGCTCTTTCAAAGTTGACGTTTATTTTCCAACCTCTTTCAGGGACTCCTTGGCAGCCCAGCTGGAGATCACTCTGACAAAGGCGGATTCAGAGCAACTAGCTCGCTCCATTGCTGAGGAGCAGTACTCTGACCTGGAGAAGGAGAAAATAATGAAGGAACTGGAGCTGAAGGAGATGATGGCCCGGCACCGTCAGGAGCTGTCTGACAAGGACATCACAATCAGCTCGGTGGGTTTCAGGATCCTCCACCTCCTGGTCGTTGGACCTGCCACTTGGTTCTGAGTGTGTTTTCTGCTATGTGCAGCTGGAGGAGGCGAACAGGACGCTGACCAGTGATGTCGCCAATCTGGCCAACGAGAAGGAAGAACTGAACAACAAACTGAAGGAAGCACTTGAAGGTTGATGAAAGGAAAACTTTGACTCATCTAAACAAAACACAACATGGCATCACTGTTTAGTTTTTTTTTTTCCTGTTTTTTCTTTCAGAATCTGATAAATCAAAGGATTGGGAGCAGCAGATCAACCAGATGAAGCAGTCTTTTGAGAAGCAGCTGCAGTCAGAGCGCACGCTGAAGACTCAGGTCCCAGTTTACTCATCTCATTCATTCCCTCTGTTCTCTTTGCTTCTGTGAGGTCCTAAAACTACACCCCCCCTCTGCAGGCTGTCAATAAGCTGGCAGAAATCATGAACAGGAAGGAAGTTCGCGGCGGAGGCAGCCGCCGTGGAAACGACACAGACATGCGGCGAAAGGAGAAGGAGAACAGGAAGCTGCAGCTGGAGCTGAGGTCAGAGAAAGAAAAGCTCAACAGCATCATGATCAAGTACCAGCGGGAGATCAACGAGATGCAAGCAGTGAGTTCCGCTGTCCTCCATAACTCTCCTGTTCGCAGAGCCGTTTGGTTTCAGACGTGCTTTCCTGTTTGCAGCAACTAGCAGACGAGAGTCAAACGCGTATTGAGATGCAGATGGCACTGGACAGCAAGGACAGCGACATCGAGCAGCTGAGGAATCTGGTGCAGTCGCTGAGCGTTCAGTCTATGGACTCGGCCAGCGTCAGCAGCGGGCCTGAGTTTGACACTGATGATGCTTACGCGGGTAAGACACCACCTTCCAAGAAGTTTTTATTAGAATGGTTCAAATGAATGCGAAAATGTTGCTAATATAAAAACCATTGCATTAGAGGTTCCAGTCCATTAGGAGGATTCATGATTTATTTGTATAAACTAGAACTATTGGGACACAAATGCTTCAATAATTAATTAAAATCAGTCAGAAACTTTCTGCATTAACAACATCAATGAATAAAGTTACATGGGTTACATGGGTGGGGTTAGCAAGGTAGAAGTTTAATGTCCAGAGCTTGAAATGAGAACCAAAAGGCTCCACTAAAGTGAGGATTTTAAAATAAGAATGGAAATGTTTTCATTCTGAATATTTAAAACATTTTCTGTTTCCTCAGAAACGAGACTGGAGGGCTGGCTCTCTCTTCCTGTTAGGAACAACACCAAGAAGTTTGGATGGGAGAAAAAGGTCTGAATAAACCATATCTGAACTTTCACTCAAACTCACTTAGCTCAGAAATAATTGTCTTGTTCTTGTAGTACGTCGTCGTGAGCAGCAAAAAGATTCTCTTCTACAACAGCGAACATGACAGAGAGCATTCCAGTCCCTGCATGGTGCTCGACGTCGAGTGAGTGGAACTCCTGAACTGGAAAACACGGAGAGATGTTTGCTTTTGTGTTACAATGTTATTTATTTCCATCTTGCAGCAAACTTTTTCACGTGAGGCCCGTCACCCAGACAGATGTGTACCGCGCTGATGCCAAGGAGATTCCCAGAATATTCCAGGTGGGGCTTCAACCTCTTTATTACTCGATACAGGAGTGTTTTGAAGGATGGAAACGACCAACCAGCCTCTGTCCATCTTCTAGATCCTTTATGCTAATGAAGGAGAGAGCAAAAAGGAGCCTGAGTTTCCTGTTGAGCCGCTTCCCATTGGGGAGAAGTCCAGCTATATCTGCCACAAAGGCCACGAGTTCATCCCCACGCTCTACCATTTCCCCACTAACTGCGAGGCGTGCACAAAGCCCCTTTGGAACATGTTCAAGCCGCCTCCTGCTCTAGAGTGCCGGCGCTGCCACATCAAGTGCCACAAGGACCACATGGACAAGAAGGAGGAGATAATTACTCCCTGCAAAGGTATTAAGATGTTATGATTTTACCAACTATATGTCAGCCTCCAGTTCGTGTTCCGGTCATTGAAAAGAGGTTTTCTCTTCTGCCATCAGTGAACTACGACGCTAAGAACCTTCTGCTGCTGGCCGCCTCCCAGGAGGAGCAGCAGAAGTGGGTGAGCCGGCTGGTCAAGAAAATCCCTAAGAAGCCTCCACCGGCGGAGCACTTCGGCCGCTGCTCCCCACGTACCTCCATGAGAGTTCAGTCCAGCCAGTCCTTGAGGAGGCCTAGTCGACCGCTTCCAACCAGTAAAAGCAGGTATGGAAAGCTGCTGATTGGTCCAGGGAGGATTTATGGTGTTTATTCTAACAGGACTTTTCTATTGCTTTGATGGTTAACTCGATGAAAGAAACAACAACTCGATAGTAGAATTTAATAAAAGTAACCATCAGAACGAATGTCCTCCTTTCAGACTGGAGGAGTTTAGTCTTCAGGACTGGCTCTTGGCATTGGATGAAATTGAAGAGGATTATTCCTCCATACATTTCTGATCAGGGTAATGCTCCGTGTGCTGTGTGCTGTGCTTGCAGTGCAGTGGCTGAATTCAAGACATTCATGCCGGAATTGAGCATCAAGGCCTGCAGCGTGAACGTAGCCTTTGATGCTGTGAATCAACATATGTTTGAATGAGTAACCGAGAAAAGGATTAGAGTAGTCTTCTAGAGGATGAGTGGGACTGAGAATGAGGGAGGAGATATGGTGGAGGTGGGTGAAAGTTTGCTTGCATGTGGGAGAGAGAAGTTAGGTCAGGAGCTAAATGAAGGGGATCTTACAAGATGATCGGCTACGGAGGAGGTGCGACCCCTGAGATAATTGGCTTGAGCTGAACGAGGAACATGGCAGGTGGCTCAGGTGAAGCTGATAAATCTTTCAGATTGAATTTAGGCTTAAGCTTAATTTACTGATTTATTCAGATTAACACTACTTTTGTTTTTTTCCATTCTAAGGGGGCTAATAGGAATAAGCCTTTAACACGTGTTTTTTATAAAAACGGGATGTTGAAAATTACGTTTTAAAAGTTTCTGGTTAATTTAAAAACAGATTTAAATAGATTTCAGAGAATATCAAAAATGACCTAGTTCGGATCTTCTTTGACCATGATTTGCTGTAACAATTAATACCGGTATGCGCTGGGGAGAAAAAGAAATCAATCAAAATTAAAATTAAATAAAAACTATAGGCAATATATTCAATGAGGTGACTGAACATACTGCAAATAAGAGAACTGTCTATCCTATAGTGGGAAATGCACCTGTTAAAAACACCTAAATACGAAATCCACACAAACAAAATATAGGAATAAAACACAAAATCTCTCCCAGAAAATATTAAGCTATTTAGATTAAAATGGTTTTCATGAAGAGCTATCTGCCTAGACGTAGTGCTGCAGTAAATATTTTTAAATTTAAATGCCTCATTTGTTTACCATTGTACAGAGTGGTAAATTATTTTTCTTTATTTACTTGTAAAAAGAGTGTTTGTTTTTTTACTGTGAAGATGTGCTCCACAGCTGTTCACTCAAACAGCCAGCTTCAGAAAAAGAAAATAAAGCCACTGTCTGCTGTCATTGTAGCTATTTTCTGCTTTGTGTGCAACCATTTCTATTTTTTTTTTACAAGTGTGAAATGGTTGTTTCTTGTTTTGTTGAATTTTCTTCTTGTTTTAGTTTGTTTTTATTTATTTTTTTCTCTATTTTTTTTGTGCTTAAATTGGATTGGCTAACATTTGTCTATACATCAAGGAATATCTTACTGCATGCATCCTCTGACTTTAGCCCTCGCAGATCAAACGGCTTGCAAACAAAACCCGACGACTACAGCAGCGTTTGGTACAACTGATGACTTCTGGGATCTTGTTGCTCATGTAAACGACAGAATGAGTCTGTGTATGTGTCTGCTCTGCTGTCACTCAGCAGTGGTGTGGGCCCACAAGCAGGGGGTGAACACACTTTCTTCAGTGCACACTGTGCAGCTTGTGAATCGGTTTACTTGATGGTCAGGATCACTTTGTCACTGGGTGAATCAGAAGCTTGAGCTTCCCTTCTAATGCATGTATAAGCAGAATATAATGTTCAGCACACATTTCAGCTAAACATCAGAGCAGCAGGGAGTCTAGGTGAAGCTTTCAGATCCCAGAGGACATCCCCGACCTTAAAACATGGTGCTAGTACCATAAGAATATTTAACTCTATGCCAGAAAATCAGAAAAGTTAGTCTAAATAGAAGAGTGATCCAATGTCCAGCCAGTTCTAGTATGCAAAAACGTGCTCAGGGCCGATGTGGATTAGAAACTCTCATTGTAAAGTAAAACCTTTGCTTTCAATTCTTATTTAAAAGTAAATGTAATTTGGTAACCCATTACAATAAGCTAAACAAAATGTAATGAACTATTACAGAGTGCCTAGGGAACTAATGGGTAGTTAACTTATAATTATTGTGGGATGCTCAGCCATATTATGGAAAACTGCTTAGTTACCTGGGAGAAACAAAGTAACTAAGAAACAACTAATGGATAGTCTTACTTTACTTAAGGGTACACAAAAACAATAGTTTATGGTCAGGTACTGATTAAGTAATCAATAGCTCCTCAGTAAGTACTTGGTATGATTTTTTACATCTTTACTTTAGGGTACATGAAAACATTAGATAATGGTTAGGTACTGATGGGTAACTATTAGTTCTTTAGTAAGTACTTGATATGTTGCTTCACACAATGAAGTCCATTAAATAACAGCTTGGAAATAATTTTCTACTCAGTAAAGTAGATTTCATATTTGTGATTCAGAACCATAGGGTTATTCAGAACAAACATTTATTTTTCTATTCTAATTTGTCATTAACCAACCAGTAGTCCCCTAAGAAGTACTTTTTAACTCCCCATTAGTTCCTGATTAATTCATCTTTATTTCCATGGTAACTCCCCATTAGTTCCTGTTTAGTTCGTCTTTTGTTTCCTTGGTAACTCTTAATTAGTCCCTGATATGTTCCTTGTTAACTCCTCATTAGTTTGTCCTTTGTTTCCTTGGTAACTCCCCATTAGTTCCTAATTAGTTCATCTTTGTTTCCTTGGTAACTTTGAATTAGTTCCTTGTTAACTCCTCATTAGTTCCTGAATAGTAACTCTTGGTTTCCTTGTGCTCTCAAGTTCCTTGTTAGTTATGTAGCAGGTGATCCCGTTTTCTGTTCCTTATTGTAAAGTGTTTCCTATTATTTAAATAATCAGCTATATGTGCAGTGCTGAACATCTGTCTCTCTGTTTTCTCTAGTTAACCCTGCTTGATGCGTCTCCAAGGTGATGCAGTTTGTTTCCTACGAAGTTCCATCTGCAGGTCAGCAACTCCACATCCATCCCTTGCTCCATCCTGGGAGGAAAGGCTCCCCACTCCTTTCAGTCACTTCATAACAACCAAGCTTGGCTGCGTTTCTGTGAGCTGGAAGGCTTATGAACAAAGTCTGCTGTGCTTCTTGAGAGTTCCTCCTTCTACAGAATAAAAACAAAAAACAGGGAGAGGCTGGATGGGAATTCACTTACCTCAACGGTTCTCAACAGGAAACAGTGCAATGGATGGAGCATGCAAAAACAAAAAAGCTTTGGAGGTTCAAACAGCCAAAAATAAGACATTCAGCTTAAAAACTGTGAACAGATTGAAGGGTTTAAAGGGGAACATGACACTTAAAAATATTCTGTTGGGTTTTTATCCCAATGGTTTTTTGTTCTCCACATGATTGTAGCTTTTTCGCTTTCCAAGGTTCTGGTATTAGAATCCGAATTAAGGTACAGGAAGCTGTTACTTCACAGGAACTCAGAGTAGGAGGACAGAGTGAATAACTCTCTGGTTGCCTCTTACTGTGATTTGTCAGTGAAACACTTGCTCTGCCTGCAGTAGCGGTTACAAAGCGAGCATCTTCTCTCCGATGGCATCAAAAGGAGGAATCCCCACATCTTAAAGAAACCTGCACTGTCCAATCCAAGGGATGATGTTTACCGTGTTTTCCTCCTTTTTTTGTTCAGTTTGAATGTAGAATCTGGTGCTGTACCAGAGGCGACACCGGGCATCCTATTACCAAATGTACTTGATTAAAGCCTATGTTTCCATCAGCTGCTTGGAGCGAACCTGCATGCTTTCCACACGCCTCCACCAGGGTGTTTTTTTTTAAAGCAGCAGCGACCTTTAAGGCATGAAAAACCTCGTCCTGAGCAGCACTAGTCCACTGAAGGCTTTATATTTTTGTCTATTAATGGTAACCAAACTTTTAGATTGGATGCGTTGTGTGTTTGCGGCTCATACAAGCGCCTGGAGAGTAAACTGTATGTTGTGTACAGACAGCTCTCCTTTAACCAAGAAGCATGTTTTATACATATAAATACCCACAATTTATATTTTACATGCCATACTGTGCACATTATATTATTTATACAGCCTTGTCCACTTTGTATTTAAGGGCCTTTACATCGTGATTGCATGTTTGCTACCAAACGGCTCTATAATGATGATATTAATCACTTATCAAAATAAAGACATGGATGTGCCTTTTTTGGTTCAGATTTTTATTCAACTTCTTCAAAAATGCATTTTAAATTTCAGTAAAATATTCAATATTTGTATTTTTTCAGCATTACAGAAAGGAATTTTACACATACAGTATAAAAGGTCTTAAAAATACAGTGTTTGTCATCTTTGTCAAAATCCTAACAGATAATAACATTAGATGTGAATAAACTGGAGTTTTGACGGTAAAACTTTTTGGTTAAAAACAAATACTTCAAAGCTACAGGAATAATCAGTATTGGAATGTTTGATCAGTATATTTATATAAAATCTGAAGAAGTAAGTTCACCCTATCTCTGTTCATAAGTTCTTTAGCAGGCGGTAAATTATTTAAATGTAACCCGAGATGCTCAGACTGCTCCAGTTCACATTATTAGACCCATTTCTTAGACTATATTCATAGGAGTCAGGGATTTCTATGATTTTCTTTAGGGATAAACAACACACAAAAATTGAAAGTAGATATTAATATATTAGCTTTTTATGGTTTTGGGTGTTTTTTTTTTATACCCTATCTGTTTCAATAGATTGAGGTTCTGATCTCATTATGGGCTATCAGGAGAGTCAGAGCTCTGATCAAATACAGTGGTCCCTCTTTCATGTAGATGTTTACTGAAGTCAGTTTTCTGACGAAATATTATAACTTACTGTAAGGTTCTAAAATGATAGACGGTCAGAACTGATCGCCTTTTGAAAAACTGACTCAGCCAAGAAGGCTGGATGTATAAAAACTAAAAACTGGAGGACTAAGATGGCCAGAAACAAATGAGAGATTTCTAACTGGATTGCCACGTAAACAAAGTCCAGCTCTGGGTTATTCCTCCCTTTTCAGACATTCAGTTATAGTTTTTCCCACTGTGGTTTGACAAGTTTGGACCAAGCCTTTGCTGTTGAATGAATGACCTAACCAAGAGTGGTCTACGAGTAACATTCATAGTGATGTTTTTCCATAGGAAAATATCCCCCTTTGTGATTAAAATTGTTTATATTCTCAAAACATTAATATGACATGTCGTAGAAGCGAAAAATAAAAATATTTTTCCTTCCAAAGACTTTTTTACATCAAATCAGGTGTTAATGGATACCATCCTCCATTAGTTTGTTTCTAATAGTTGATAAATGTCAAGAATTTATTTATCTAAAAAAGCATTTTAGATTTTGCCAATAAAATCTGTGACCAGATCTTTCCTGCACTAAAGTGACACCAACTACCTGAGACATTGAAGCTCTTGGGATTCCTGCATTTTATCTGAGCTTTGCAAAGTTTGACCGCAGAGTTAACTGAAAAGGACCTTTACTGTTGATTTATGCCTTGGGGAAAAAACGAGCAGAAAACATTGCTTCTCTTAAGACTTCCTTCAATCTTGGCATTGTGTTGTTAGACATGTACGCTCTGTTGGTGTTCAAACCAGGAGTTAATATATTGATCAGTGTGATCCCTGGTCTAATTAGCAGCTCCTGGCTTGAACTTTCCTCTTTAATCCTATGGAAATATCAGGGTTTTCATTCACCAACAGATTTTCATCAAAATACTGGAAGTATATACCGGTAATCTTTTTTTTTTTATATATATAATAAAGGTAAGATTTGATCCATTTAAGAACGTGGTAAAGACCAGAACTTTTTTTATATAAGTAAAATCCCTGGCAGTGAAAAAGGGTGAATCTCTTTTCAGCTGAAATGTAACCGTTAACCTGTTAGACTGTTTGTTCCTATATCATTGGCGATGCAGTGGGCTCCGAAGCACAGCCCGTCCAGGTTGCCCCCTGGATTTAATCTGCTTTCTTTGAGCTGCTTCTTCTTTGTTGGTAATAGATAACAGTGAGCAGCACCCACAAGTTCAGCAGAGTCATTGCCACAAATCGAACGAGAACTGCAACAAGAGAAAAGACCATTACCAACAAGGTTTATGCTTAATTTTACTGTGTATTCAAAGCTGTAGAAATATAAATGTATTTGCTGCCTGTTAAATGAAAACTTTAGTCTTCTGCAGTTCGGGAAAGCACTGTTGGGGGTGTTGGAGTAAAAAACTGGCATGGAAAATTTCCAGACTAAATGCAACGGCAGCCACAGCTGTGATGACATTTAAAAAAAAAATCATAGATTTTCTATTTTATCTTTTTATTGGTTCCCTGTAAAGCCCAGAATACAAAGTTCTCCTACTCATCTATAAAGCCCTAAATAAGCAAGCTCCATGTTATCTCAGAGATCTGATTGTTTTCTATGTTCCTAACTACTTTGCTCTAAAAGTAGAATGGGAGGCAGATCTGTTTGTTATCACGCTCTTCTCCTGTGTAACAACGACCAGTTTTTGTCTGTGATACAGAAAACCTGTCTAATTTTATGACCAGGCTAAAAACGTTCATCGGCTTAAAGGAATAGTACACCCAAAACATGATTAGCCTTCATTTTCTACTCACCCCCATGCTGAACAA